GTTTTAAATTTTTAATGCTTTCTAATCCCATAGGTTTTACAGCATTTTGACGCTACTGGATATTTTACTGCATTTTATTCTTTCTTACTTCAAACATTCAAAAGTTATTATTTATTTATTTAAAAATAAAATAAATTATTGATTATCTAGTTTCCGTTCAGTTTTAGTTGCTGGGTTTTTGGAAACCGCTTTACAAACTTCCACTTGATGAAAAGCAATATATAACTACATGAACAAAGAAAGAAGATATGCTCTCCAACAAACAAAAAAAAGGTTTCGAAAAATAAATATATATCCTACAAGATGGACCACAACATAAAAATAATGGGTGGGATCCTACTAAGTCATTCTTAAGAGTTGACCCATTGAAATTAATAGACTTAAATTTCAATAGGTCTACTCTGGGTGTGGCTAACATTGGATCTTATCCAATGTATATTTCACTCTGAAATTAGAATTGCAGAGAAAAATGACAGCAAAATGCATAATCCTAAAGTCTCTTGATGGAGAACAAATTGGTTGATCACCAAATATCTAGCTGTGCATATAAAACCCCAAAGGCTGTATCTATCTAAGTTATAAGCAGAATAAACCCACTGAAACCAATTGGCCTAATTAATCATATTCATTAATTTCAATGGGTCTACTCTGAGTATACACTAAGTAGTGCTAATGTTGTACACAACCCCATATTTCTTCCCCAGACAACTGAACTGTTTTTTGCAACCAAAAATGACCAAACAGCCCTAGATCATATTAAATTGTAAGACATTGTTACAGATCCATCCCCTTTAATTCTGGGAACCTTTCACAAAACAAGATGGGACCAATCTTGAGAGCGTTAAATCTTTGTTTTTCCAGTATGTTCTAAACTTAGATATACATATCAGAAAGACTGGCAAACTAAGGGAGTTGCAAGTAATGAGGTATATATCACACAGTGTGAAGAAAACAAGGTCTTGCATGCAGAAAGATAACAACAGTGCAATAAGGGAATATTCAGATCACCTTATCACCTTTCAGTCCACTCTCTCCAGGATTTCCCATCAGCCCCTAACAAAGAGAAAAGAGAGAGTGAGACCAAAGTGAACTGAAATATTGCCCTTCATCCCAAGTCTAAGAGCCACGGAGTGTGAGGAGGCTGAATCAGGGCTCTCCTGAAATATAAGGATTCCCGTTCACCAAACCATCCACGAAACACATTTGCTTCAGGAAATTAAGATAAAAGGGGAAACATAGTGAAAATACAGGGTTGCAGCCAATGTTAGTCCTACTCAGATTAGACACACTGAAGTGTCTAGGTGAGGTGAAGTATAGGTGTGGCCAACTTACATACATTGGTTTTAATGGGTCTTCTCTAAGCAGAACATAATTGGCTACAGTACAGTTTCCATTCCAGCTGGTCATTATAAGAACTAGTACACAACTTCCATTACTGGTGTCTGATTTTTTTCATTTTGCTCTTCCCTCCTTTTTTGTGTTGTGCCATTTAAGATCGTGTTAATGACGCTTCCCTGCCTGTGGCTTCAGGAGATGGGAACATATTCCATGGTCTTCTAATTCGAGGGTTGGAGTTGTGCTCCACCTTACAGATCATAACACACACATCTGCATGCAGAACAAATTGTGGGTGCTGGGTTCAAGGGAACCCTAAAGAAAGAAAAATATGACTAAGGGGAGCCTAGCTCAGACGATTTGAAAAACATATGAAGCTGCCTTATACCGTTGGCAGACAAGTCATTGTGCCCGTTTCCCCACCTGTTGTCTACTCTGACCAACAGCTGCTCTTCAAGGATTTCCCCATCACCTGCTACCTGGTCACATTTGGATTGGAGATTCCAGGGGCCATCTGCATGGCAAGCGAGTATTCTAACACTGAACTATGATCCATCTCATCTAGCATCTTCTGCTCTAGCCTTTGCTAATATGGTGCCCCCTCTAGGTGTTTTGGAGTACAACTCCCAGGCTGGTTCACTCTGATTGCTTATGGCTCTGTGGGGTCTTTACCAACCCAACAACCCAATATGGTCTTTGAGCAGCAATGCTGGGGATCAAACCTGTAACCTTGTGCTCTGCACCACTGAGCTATGGCATCTGCTTATTGGAAGTCAGTCACCTTTAATCCTTTTGGTCCTGGGAAACCTAAAGGTCCAACTGCACCCATATCGCCCTGGTGAGAGAGAGAGAGAAGTGAGGTTTAGGAATGGAGAACAACAAAGCCTTCTGCCTCCTCTGAAAGCTGTCTAACTTTTGCTGCTAAGCAGTTTACCGCAAAGAGGAACAAGGACTAGAAACTTACTTTTTTTTATTAAAAAAGGTGCAATTTAAACAACACCAAACTAGAGTATGCTGAGAATGTATTTCTGAATTCATCTATGGATAGCTCAATCTCGGGGTTGTGGGTTTGAGCCCCACACTGGGCAAAAAGATTCTTGCTTTTCAAGGAGTTGGATGAGATGACGCCTGTGGTCCCTTCCAACTCTACAATTTTATAATTCTATATGGAAAAAGCTCAAGGTCATAAGGAAGGGTGGAATAGGAAACCTGCCTGAAACAGCAGACTTCAGATAGTGGACATTCCTAGCCCTGCCTGGAGATGCTAAGAACTGAACCTGGGACATTCTGCATGAAAAGCAGAAGTTCTATCACTGAGGAACAACCCTTCACTTAACAAAGAAAAGCCACAGTCCTCATGGCGCTGAATGAAGGGCTGCTTATACTGAGTCAGACCACTGGCCCATCTAGTTCAGTATTATCTACTCAAACTGGTAGCAGCTCTCCAGCTTTGGGGGTCATTCCCAGGCATACCTGGACACAGCAGGCACTGAACCGGGGATGTTCTGTGTGCAAAACACTGGATCTGCCACTGTGCTGTGGGTCCTCCCAGCATTGTGTGAATTACCCAGGAAAGGTACCAGAGTTCAACCGTTTCAAGGTCCCTGTTAAAGCAATCTCCTTCTTACTTCCACACACACCCTTAGAACGGAGCAAGCTAGTTTATCTGCCCTGGATAAACAAACAGAGGAGCTGCTGGTTCTGCTAAAGGCATATTTCTGTACAGGGAGATCACACAGCCGAATGCACCATGTGAGCTTTCAGCTGTGGCTTCCTGAAAACATATAGCTTTTTCATGCCCTGCAGCTTCATAGAGGGTCCTTGCAAGAAAGGGCTCGCTTCATAAAGCAGGCCTGGATCACTCAGCTTGGATGGATGCGGCCAGCTCTGGTTACTGCTCACACCTTGCTCTGGTCGTGGAGGAACAGCACTCAAAGCCAGCATGCAAAAGAGATAACTGGGTACCAAGCCCTCAGGATATCCAGAACCAAGAGGAGGGCATGGGCGAAGTCAACCACGAGGGGTGTTATGCTGAGCATCACCAGAAAGGTCTCTAGTGTAGTGTTAATGCTCAGAGTGCTGGACTAAGACATGGAAGACCTAGGTCCAAAATCCGCACTCAGCTGTGCAACTCACTGGGTGGTGATCTTGGGCCAGTCACCTTATCTCAGTATAACCTACTTCACAGCATTGTTGTGAGGATAAAATGGGGAGGAGGAGAACCACGTACACCACCTTGAGCTCCTTGGATGGAAAATAAGTGGAGTATATAAGTGTAAAAAATAAAATAAGTAATAAAAACAAAGGCAACGCCAATGGTCCCTGACGACTGGCAATGCTGACTGGGGCTGATGGGAGAAGAGGGACCTAGGGAGGCCTTCCCATGGCTATTGTGTATAAACTGCTAAGAAGGGAATATCCACACTCCCTGATGCAGTATACTTATTTGGGGGAGTGCCTTATCTTAAAAGGGGGAGGCACTGCAAAACTGGAAAAGATGCAGAAAAGAGATCATCTGGTTAAACTGATTGATGGGAGAAATGAGACAGACGAAAGAAGGAAGTTCCTTGAGCAGTGTGGAATTTTTCTGTGGAATGAGGTAAGGCAATGGCCACAGGTTTGGACAGCTCTGCTGCAGGGGTGGGCAACCTGTGGCTCTCCAGATGTTGTCAGATTCTGACTCATATCATTCTCAGTAAGCAACATCTGGAGGGGCACAGGTTCCCCATCCCTGGGCTCAGACAAATTTGCAGAAGAGGATAACCCTTGTCAATGGCCGCTAATCATGACAGCTGCAGAAGCGGCACGCCACCAAATCACCAGATTTTAGACACCTTAGGGTAGTTTCAGTTCTCAGCCAGGAAAATGTACCATTTATAAAGTGCAAGAGCTGCTTCCCCTGACAACTCATTCAGGCCATCTATGAGCCAAAAATGACTGCCACATTGTGGGCAGGAGGGTTGGGCTGCGGGGGAAGGTTGTAGCCTGGCAGCATAAAAATAAAAAAAATACTTGCAAGGTTGAATCATTACTCTGCAGGCACCTTTTTGCCATGCCCTGACTCCCCAATGTGGGACACACTCTAATCCAGAAGTACCCAACAGGGTGCCCTCCAGATGTTTTCGGACTCCAAAACATAGTTGTTTTAACAACAGTGGAACATATAAGACAGGATTAGCATTCAGTAATAGGAGACTTCCAGAGAAAGTGTGTTATAACTTATGACAACACGGTGACACCTTCATTTGACTTAATTAAACATAAAGTACCCTCTCCAGAGAGAGACGCGGATTGCTGGGGGGGGGGGGGCAATAAACTTCATTACATTTATTGATAAATCTTGCAAACGCATGTGGCAAGCTGCATACTTATGGAAGGCTCACAAATACAACAAGGACACAACAGCATGCTCTCACGCGTGATCCCCAGTCCTTATAGCCTGAACATGTGATGCTACCATATACTGTCACACCATTGCCACATCCAGCCCAGTGTTGTCTACGCAGACCAGAAACAGCTCTCCAAGGTCTCAGCAAAAGGTGGGTTGCTATTTTTGAGAGGAAACATGCCTTAAACAAGGTCAGGCTTTTTGTCCACTTAACTCAAGCTTCTCTACTCTGACTGCCAGCAGCTTTCTCATTAACACGCTACCTGCTCTTTTTAACTGAGAATGCCAGGGATCAAACTTAGGACCTTCTGCATGCAAAGCAAGAGCTCTACCACTACACTACATGCTTTTCCCGAACTTTTAGACCAGCTACCTTTCACTGGTCTCAGCATCTCCAGTCAGAGGATCAGTGAATGGTGGGTCGTCCCTTCTCTCATCCCCCTCCAAGAGTGCACAATGGTATACTTGTGCCTGGAGTGTTGTGTTTTAATCCAATAAGGGAATTATATGTCAGAATGATCTCTCATACAGTCCTCCCCCATATATATTTTTAATCCCTGCATGTGGTAAACCACCACATAAGAGAGAAAGCTAGGTAAGAACCTTGACAAGCTAGTTTTCTGAATGGTGGGATTTGTTGTAAATGGAGGAAAAACCAGCCATGTGCGACTTCCCACCGATTCTACAACCTGCAGTCCAGTGCACTACAATCCAGACACATATTGACCACCGCAAGGAGGATTTAAGACTTTGAAGAGCTGGCTGTATTGCATTGATGGGGAACCTGTCTCACGTGCAGAGATGTTACTGAATTACAAACTCCCACTACTCATTGGGCAATGCTGGCTGGGGCTAATGGAAGCTGTAGTCCAAGAACATCTGGAAGAGGACCACAGGTCCCTCCCCCCACTGCTGCCCAGTGGGAACTGGTGCCCACTGGGACTGGTAGAGTGGAAAGACCAGCCATAGGCAAAGAAAGTGCCAACCGGCCATTTGAGATGGATAGTGCAGTCCCCTATCTGCCCTAATGAACCAGCCTCCAATGAACTGCCCTGTTGCGAGCATGAGGCTGAACACACAATGCACACTTGAAGCACATTCTGCCATCACCAAAGAATCCTGGGTACTGTACTTTGTTAGGAGTGCTTGGAATTGTAGTTCAGAGGGAAGACTACAGCTCACGGGATTCTTTGGGTGGTGGAGCTGGTGTGCTTTAAATGCACGTGTATGTTTGCAGCAGTCTCAGCGGCTTCCTGCATGCAGGAGCACCTGCTAAGTAGCCTCCTCCTTCTCCCACCCCAGCAAAGGTAACTCAGTGCTGCTGTTTTCGCCCATTGTGTCAACACTGCAGCTTTAACACTTCCCTCCCTGCTTGCACGGACCTCCCCCGCCTCGCCCTGCAAGGGCAGCAGATTAAATCAACACAGTGCATTTCCACGGGGCTCTTAGTGGTGCCTTGGAAAGAGTTAAAAAGAAGAAGCATCGTCCCAGAGCCCCAGATGAAAAGCTCTCCTGTCTTTACCCGTACTTACAACAAGTCCGTGAACTCCAGGAGGACCCGGGGCTCCCACGTCTCCCTAAAAGGAAACAAAGAGCAACACAGTTACAGTCTTTTTGTCAGCAAAAAGTGGAGATTCTTCCCTCCACACACCCCAACTTAAAACGTAGAAGAAGAAGTGCCTCCGTGTGGTGAGGACGGCAGGGGAAGGGTTAAGGGTGCCCCGCCCTCGGTGGGCAATCTAGAGCTTCCATCTTCAGCAAGCTTGTAAATAAAAGAGACCTCCTTGGAAGACACAAGGCTGCTTGTTCAAGACCGGCTTTCCTCTCCGCTCCCCCCCCCCCGCCTCCCCCAAAAATGGGACAGGAGAGAAGAAGGATTTCACTGTGTGCTTTTGGAAAAGGAGGGGGGGCGGAGCAAGAGAAGGGTGCTGGACAAGGAAAGAAAGAAAGATAATTTTCCACCATCACTTTTCTCTTTCCCACCTGCAAAAACAACCCTCAGGAGTCCAGCACAAACCTCTCCCTTGCTCACCTCTAAACAAGCCCTGTGGCTAAGAACTGGACACTACTGCTCCCATTTTACAGATGGGTGAACTAAGGCTGAGAGGGGGCAAATTGCTGAAGAAAAAGGGCTTGAGGTCCAATGCATAGCAACAGGAGCGCCAGACAGAGGTGTCTTAGTTGGAGCAATAGCGATAGATACATATAGAATCTCAGAATCCTAGAGTTAGAAGGTATCACAAGGGTCATCTAGTCCAACCCCCTACAATGCAGGAATCTTTTCCCCAACATGGGGCTCGAACACACAACCCTGAGATTAAGAATATCATGCTCTACCAACTGAGCTACAGAGAAAGAAAGAGGTTCAGGAATTCAATCTTTCTCCCCACTCAGTGCTCAGAAATACACAGTAAGCAGTCTGGTGGGGCTTGGGGGGTCCCACTGGCTTATGGCAAAGCTGGGGACTCAGCTAGATTGGTAAAGAAAAAGTGATTTATAAGTGTTGTATATGCAATATAACAATGCACCACCAGATGGTGCTGTGGAGTCCTGTCTTTCCCTACATGATTTCCCTGTTTAAATTTACGAGTTTAATTAAAACACTTCTTTGATGTGTCTAGATTCAGCCTGCATAGAGCAATGGATGTGAATTTTACCTTTGTACAGTAGGCTAGTTTCTACACCCACACTCACACACCTCTCTCTGCCCTCTGTCCAGGCACTCAAGACTTATGATCAGAGTTCAAAGACACATTCCAGCTATGCAAAGGCACTCAATGAGGATGCAAAGCAGGGCTAGTAAGAGGTCTGGCTCAGGGAAGTGTGTGGCCTAGGGAAGGTTCCTGAGGGCCAGATAGAGAGACCTGGGGACCACACTTAACACAAGCAAATAAAATAATCCTGCTGATGAGGAGGACTATGTCTTTAAAAAACCTACAGAAAGCCATTCATGAAGAAGAGCCTCTCTGCAGGCATGGGTTGCATCCAGTGTTAGTTCTACTCAGAGTAGACACACTGAACTGAATGGTCACAGCTGACAGATTCATTCATTTCAGGTTGGTCTACTTTGACTATGACTTAGTTGGATAAAATCCTGTGGGGCTCTCCTTCATCATAAGGAAATCATCATACCCACCAGCCTTTGTCAACCTGGTGCCAGATGTTATGGGTAACATATCCCATCATCTCCAGCTGTGGCGAAGGCTGATGTGCACAGCCAAAACGGCACCTTTGGTGCACAAAAGAGAGGCATCAGCAGGTTTGGGGGAACCCCAAAATTTGCAAAAGTACAAAACAATATTTAGGGGAAAACGGCATTTTGGGGTGGGTGTGTTATCATTATTCACATCCACTTCTCCCTATCCAGTGTCTCCACACCCTGCATAATTTTACATGCCTCTATACCCCACCCCAGCAAAGTATAACACTCTGAATGTTATAACCTTTCCTGATGTGGAAGATGCTCCAGCCCATGCTCAGTGGCCAGAGAATGATGGTGTGTGTAAAACGGGGGGGGGGGGGGTGAATGTAAAAGCATGGAGGAGGGCATGACTAGTTAGTCGGCTGGAACAGAAGAACAGAAGGGGGTTGGGGGTGTGGGAGGAGACTGCCACATGCCAATCTGAGGCACAGCACAAGCCACCCAAATTCAGTGGCACGGGAAAAAACAGTCAAGAGCCCAAAGTGTGTATCAAATTCTGGAAGCAGGTGGCAGGACAGAAACATGGGATCCACAACTGTGTTTTCTGCATACATTCCTCCCAGCAGACTCAGAATCTGTTCCATGGGTGTCCTTTGCTGGAATTTGCTCTGTCTGTGACACTTTCCTTGACCCCACCAAAGTTCTCTTCAAACAAGCTAAGGCCTTCCCTTTTCATTCTGTGCACTAAGTGTCATAAGCTGTCCAAGTGGGGGTGGGGAAGAAAATCTAAAAAGGCCAAAGGGAAGGATTCTCTTCCGCTGGGGAATTAACATTGCAGGACTCTGGATTCTCCGGATATCCCAGGCAGAGCTTTCAAAAACTGACCTAGAGCTCCAAGCCAGATTCACGTTGAGCTCCTGAAATCTGCTTAGCCCCTGCCAGCCTGAGCAATGGTCTGGGGTGATGGGAGTCCAACAACATCTGGAGGGCCACAGATCCCCTGCCCCTCTTTCAGAATGAGCCCAGTATGCTGCTGGGAATAAAAGAGGTCCTGCGCGCAACTGGACCAGATGACTGGAGACATTCCGAAGAGGCAGCTAGTGTTTCCTTCCTACAACACAGCTGAGCCTTCCTCAGCTTGACACCCTCCATATACTCTGAACTTCAGCACCCGTAATCCTGGTCCATTTTGCATGCTGTCTGGAGCTGAGGGGAGTTGGGAGTCCAACAACACCTGAAAGGGTTTCGGGTTGGGGTGGACAGTCAGTTCATGGGAAGGGCCATAGCTCTATGGCAGAGCATCTGCCGTGCAACCAGAAGGTCCAGGTTCATTCCCCAGTGGCATCTCCAGGAAGGTTTTGCAGAGAGACTCCTGACCTGGAATCCTAGAATCCTAGAGTTGTAGAGTTGGAAGATACCCTGAGGGTCATCTGGTCCAACCCCCTGCAATGCAGGAATCTAAACTAAAGGATCCCTGACAGCTTCCTCTGTTCCTGTACCAATTTAAAATCCTAATGGCACACCCACCCACCCAGTATAATTAACTGAATCTATGGTTTATCACAAGATAAATGGTGATGTGGACAAACTCTCACTGACATACACAACCAGGAATGTGGGGAAATCAATGCAGCTTATTCTGTAATGAGTCAAACACAGCAGACAAACTCCTAGAACTCTGACGTGGGGGAAAGAAGCATAAATTGTGCTGAAATTCCCTCTTCAGCACAACTGTCAAAGGTGCAAGGGGGTCTGTCCTTCCTGTTGCCACCACCCTTGCATCAGGTAGTCAGGAATGGTTGATGCTGTCATCCCACTAGTAAGCTGGGGAGGTGAGCTCTGCAGGCCAGAAGAGGCTGGGAGGGTGGCCCCTGACCCATTCTGGAAAGAGTCTTGGCCAGCCAGGGGATAAAGGCATGGCGGATGACACATTTGAGGGTGGGTGAACAGGAAAGGGATAACAGGAGAATAAAAGAATACAGAGCTAGTCCATGGGCAAGCCTTCCCATAATGACTTAGGGCACGGTGTGGGAGGGAGGCAAAAGGCAGCACTTGCGCCGTTGGCCACTCCAGTGGCAAGTCAAGGAGAGAAGGGGCTAACTGAAGGAAGGGAAAAGCTACTGACATACCTTAAGGCAGAGTGATTAATAGGGAAGGATGACAGCTTAAAAAAAATTTTGGGAACTTTTGGCCCTTCAGATGCTGCCAAACTACAACTCCCATTAGCCCCAAGCAAGCAGGGATGCTTGGGGTTGTAGTTCAGCAACACCTGGCAGGCCAAAGGTTCCCATGCTTGGTTTAAGTAAACAGATCTCAGATGAGGATGATAAGGGTGCATTAGAGTGAGGTGCTCATCAGGTGTTTTCTTAAGGCAAGGGAACCCCTGAAGACACTTTAGATCCATAGTGGGAGGGTGGCAGCTCTCACACTGCCATTCTGAATTTAACTGGCAGTGTGAGGGCCAAGAACCCCTGGTTCTTTGCAGTGTCCTGGTCATGGTGAGCTGCCTGATCTGCAGCATAGACCATTGGTTCCCAAATACCCCCTCCCCGCCATGGACCACTTGAAAATTGCCAAGGGCCTTGGAGGACCACTTAACAATTTCTCTTGTAATGCACTGTGCTAGATGCTGTAGGATTTACAGAGAATTCAAACTGTAATACAATATAAGAAATAAAAGAAGCAACAGAAATGCAATGAGAAATTAATGTGAACACTTAGTGTCATGGGTACGCCTTCTCCTGTCTTCAACCGCAAGTCCACACACATGCCATGGACCACTTTAATGAAGCTCGTGGATCATTTAAGGATCCTCAGGCAATGGAGTGCTTCCATCCATCAATTCCAACAGGAATAGTTAAAATGGCTTTCTCTTTAGGCTAGAAGCGGGGACCAGACCTGGGGTGGGGAACCTTAGGTTGGAGCCAAATGCAGCCCTGTTAGCCCCTCTCTATCTCTCTGGCCCTTGGGACTTTCCCCTGAGGAGGGCACTACCGACCCCCACACCTCTCACCAGCTCTCCTCTGTGGCTTCCTTTAGTGCTTGTATACCTAGCTTGAACCATGATCCTGCCTTCTGCTTGCATGGATGAAGGTTGGAGAGGGCTCTCTCTCTCTCTCTCTCTCTCTGTGTGTGTGTGTGTGTGTGTGTGTGGAGACCTTGGACTTTCATAAGGACAGACTGTAGCATGCTGTGCAAAGATAAGAGCCCCATCCCTGACTCTGCCCACTTTGGCCTCTGGTTGCACCTGTCACTGGGCTTTCAAGATTCCAGAAGGCCTGCCCAGGAGGGAATGTGGCTCTAAAAAAAAAAGCACCACCCAATAAAATTATTGGTAAAAACAGCTAACAACAAACATTCAAAATTGAACTCAACAACAAACTAAAAACAGATCAATACACACATCAACTCCCTCATGTGGTGAGCCTTTGAACTACAGTTGGCAGCTTCTTGGTAAAGTACCTTCAGGCCCCAGACCAGGGGCTGATGGGAGCTGGAGTCCAACAGCATCTGGAGGGGACCTCTGTGGCAAAAGTGGTCTCTCCAGATGCTATTGAACTGCAACTTCCATCAGCCCCAGACACCATGGCTGATGGACCTCCCCTGGCCTAGACTGAATGCGTTCAGCCAGACTGGCCACTGGATTCTCCCTAGACAAGGAAGTGCATAAAAAGGCTCCTGCTTCCAGTTAGAACCTCTCTGGAGCAACATGGTGTTTTCCTGAACCCTGGCACACTCCTGGAAATCTTCAGTCCTGACCTCTCACTCACTCCTCTATCCTATCTGCTGATTTGCCCAGTAGCCCAGCCTTGCTCTTTGGTCCTGACTACTGGCTAATCTCTTCTGGTTCCAATGGCTGCCTTTGGCACACCCATGCAAAAATTTACTCAAATCCTGTTTGATGGAAGGCAGTGTAGAATCAAAGAATTGTTGAGTTGGAAGGGAACCTGACAGCTATCTAGTCCAACCCCCTGCAATGCAGGAATCTCAACTAGAAATGCTTTAAAGCAGGGGTAAGAAACCCCAAGTCCAAGGGGCAAATGCTCCAAGCCTCACTATTTGGCCCTTAGGGTTCACCCAGTCATGCCCCCTCTTCCTGAACCTACACCCCCCAACTGGCCCTTCCTTGAACGTTTTTGCACGTCTGATAATGTTTCTTGCCTGCCTGGATGAAGGACAGGTCCTGGGGTGAACGGTGCAATGGTAAGATTCACATTTATTGCACCTTCTCCTTTTGCTCATGGCTGTGCCCACTACTGCCACAAAGGCCCAGGAAAGTTGCCCAAAAGAGAATGTGGCCATGGGCTGAAATAGGTTCCCCATCACTACCTTAATTAATTAAATAAATTAGGAACTAGGTGCACCCAGGAAGACACCAACAGAGCCAGTATCTCTAGGTGGGCAAATGCTTTCAACTTCCAAAACAAGGAATACCTAAGACATAACTGAGTTGCAATGGCGGATTCTGGGTGAGAGTCACACACATAGAGGGGAAAGCCCACTCAGCTCTTGTGCTAAAAGCCTTCATGTTCTGCTTGTGGGTTTCCCAGAGGCAGCTGGTGGTTGGCCACTGTGGGAAAAGATTCTAGAGCAGGGGGGTTGGCCCTTGGTCTGATCCAACAGGTCCCTTCTAATTGTCCTTAACTCCTACCCTTTAATTCTCACACAAGCAGCCAGAATGAAGGGCATATGCTGTGTCTAAAGCAAGCAATCTTTATGCATTTTATCTCTGCTCTGACAACTGAACTGCTGGACAGCTGTTCTACTTAAAACACACACACACACACGAATGCACCAAGGAAAATCAACTGAAACAGAGAATTTTGAGGTTAGGGAGAGTTAAAAGCAACGTTTAGGAAGGGCTGGGGAAAGCAATCTGCTGGTCCAAGGCATATTTTCTGGTGATAATGCAGTTTTATTTTTCAAAAAGAATAAAAAGGAAAAGGGGCATTCCTGGCCTGCTTCTATAGAAGAGGATAGGCTGAGCAAGAAATTGTATGGTGAGGGGACCAGGGATGGTTCTCTGAATTTCTTGTTTTTCAAATATTAAATTCACTTCTCGACATTTCTGCAACAATTTGCATTTTTAAAAATCCTCATGAAAAATTATCCAGCATTTCCATGCAAACTTATCCTAGTATACACATTTTTCTATGCAGTTTTGCCTGATGTACACATATTTGCAAACAATTTCCCCTGATATAATGCATTTTTTATATGTCATTTTCTCTAATGCATTCATTTTCAGGCATACTTTCCCCTAGCAAATGCAGTTTTTCAAACACTGGCTGGACAATTTGGATAAGTGCAATTTTCAAAGAACTGCTATGTTTTAGTTCACATTTTGTTTTGGAAAGTGTAGATTTCATATATTTGCATTGAAATGAGAACTGAATCACATTTCTCCTCAATCCTTAAGGGGACCAAAGGTAAACCCTGCAAAAACAACCAGGTTGTAAGGTTATTTCTGAGAGATTACAGAAACAGCCAGATGTACAGGTAGCCTTATATCAAAGCTGAAAGCTATTTAACTGTACTCAGTGTTACTACAATATAATTCAATCCCATCAGGGGTTTTTTAAAAGGCTAGCTGCTTCAAGGTATGCTACCTTTGCACACCTTCACCAGAACCAAGGTTTTAATTATTAGGGAGAATATGAGAAGAGGGCTGTTGAATTGGACAAACAGCCTTTATTTTCCAGCATCCTGTTCTTACATTGGCCAACCAGAAGCCTATCAATAATAAGTGGGACCTGCAACAAAACATTGTGATACTGCAGGTTCTTGGCCCAAGATTCAGGCAGCCGAAGTCATCTCCATTCCATTCCTCTCTCTCTCCACCATCCAGTTTCCTATTTCCCCTCCAAAAGACACTCAACATTCTGTGCTCACTGAACATGCTTAACACTTCTTGATCTAGCTGGGGGTTTATAGTACTTCTCCAAACCGTAGAGTTTTGCCCAAGCCTGCTGATTACCTCCCAGGTACTAAAAAATGAGTTAACTCAGTCAGTGGTCCATCTAGTCCAGCATCCTGTTCTCACAGTGGCCAACCAGATGGCTGTGGGAAACCAGCAAGCAGAATTCAACCACAACAGTACGCTCCCGTCCTATAGTTTCCACCAATTAGTATTCAAAAGCACTGAGCCTCCACAGTAGCAGCAGAGCATAGCCATTGTGACTAGTAGCATCAATAGTCCTCTCCTCCATGACTTTGTCCAGTCCTCTTCTAAAGCCACCCAAGTTGGTGGCCATCAATGCCTCCTGCAGGAAGGAGTTCCATAGTTTAACTATGTGCTGCACAAAAAAGTACTTTCTTTTATTTCTCCTGATAAAGTTCACTATTAGCATACAAGATTTGATGGAATACTTCCTGCATGCTTTCACTTATATCCGCAAAAGTTTTAGAAATAGAGACTTTTTGTAATTGAATGCTGTACATTCATGTTTTGGATCTGGAAAGAGGCTGGCAACTTGCCTCTTACACAGGCTAAAAGTCGGGGATGCAAACTCTTCCCATACCAAATGGTCTGGATTTTCAGCATAAGGAAGGTGCACAGATGTAGGTCTTGTTTATATCCTAAGAAAAACCAGACACTGCAGAATGGACTGCACCAGAGATGCTGAATCTGTGGTCCTGCAGCTGTTGATGAAATTCTTCTAGAATTCATCACAGTCAATGGCTAGGGATGATTGGAGTTCAAGTCCAGCAACATGTGGAGGGCCAAAGGTTCCCCATCTCTGCTGTAGATCTATGATTATTGATCAGAGCTGGGCCTTCTTCAAACCACACATTGCCCAAAACACTAGGAGAGAAATCTAGCCTAAAAAGCTCCTCCTCCTCTCTATTAAGTGGGAATCGGGTAGCTACAGTCCTCCAGAAGATGCTGGACATAACTTCCCATCATTCCTGGCCACTGATCATGCCACCTAAGGCTGATGGGAGTTGAATCCAGCATCATCTAGAGGGCAACTGCTTCCCCATCTGATAGGCTGGACCTCTGCACAGTTACAGACCATAGTCTCTCCCAGCCCTGCCTGGAAATGCCAGGGATTTGATCTGGGACCTTCTGCAGATAAAGCAGATTCTCTACCACTTAGTTACAGTGGCAATAAATAAATAAACGTACTGTATTTTTCTCTGTATAAGACAATGCTTTTTGCTGAAAAAAAATAGGCAACAATTGGGTGTTGTCTTATACACAGATAGTAAATACAGAGGGGGCTGTGCGATTAATGGCAGCAGCAAGCAGGAGATTGGCGGTGGCGATTGGGCGGGTGATTGGTAGCTGTGGCGAGGTGGGCAGGTGATTGGCAGCTGCAGCAAGTGGGTGGGTGGGCTGTTGATGGCGGTGAGCAGGCAGGCAAATGGTGGCTGCGGCAAGGTATGTGATCGGCTGTGGCAAGTGATTGGCAGTGGCAGGCAGGTGGGTGAGTGATTGGTGGAAGTGACCCCCCCCCCAAATAGCTAAACAACTTAATTTCTTAATTTTGGGGTTAAAAAAAATAGGGGTTGTCTTATACATGGAAAAATACGGTAATAAATAAATACAACTCCCTTTAGTCCCAGCCAGCATGGCCAATGGTCAAGAAGAATGACGCATGTAGTCAAACAAGTCTTGGAAGGCACCATATTGGTCAACCCTTCATTTAACTGGAACTGCTGAGGACTGAAGATGGGACCTTCTGCATGCAAAACACATACTCCACCAGGGAAGTTACAGCTGTTTCCCTAAGGCCTCCATCCAAGCAGTCCAAAAAACAGAGCGGCCCAGCTCTATCATTTCATCCAAGACAACTGTAGAATGCTGCCAGCTTCTCACTGTACCAACAGGGAGGAGGGGGATTGGATTTTAGCCAGAGCAGTTATACTCACGAGAATACCCACTGAAATTAAGGTACCTGAGTAATATCCACCAGTTTTGATGGGTCTACTCTGAGTAGGACTAACACTGGAAACTATTATTAATATTATTGTAATTATTGTTTTGTTTGTTTTTAAAGATTTCTTACCTGCCCTTCATGATAAGGTCCCGGGGAGGTTGCAGCATTGTCAAAGCACAGTATTAAAATCAGTTGATACAATCTACACTCAAAAGAACAGGGGGTTGCATTCAACTGCATTTTACTCAGAACAGGCCCATTGAAATTAATGAACATGGCTAAATTGGGGCCATCCGTTTTAATGGGCCTACTTTGAGTAAATTGCCTAGAGATCTGAGTATAAGATCTGTAAGATGAGTGACAGAAAAGATGCTTCAAAAACACCCAGTTACCCTTGGCTTTTGTTCATCCTTTCCCCAGCAAGCAAAGCACTCTGTGGGACTGAAGGGGAAGACGGAAAGAGGAGAGGCAGGGAAGGGAGGGCACCCTCATTGACCTCTCCCTTGTTAGATGCTTGACTGAAGTATTTAGCACGTTGTATAAAAGATGGGAATTGTTTCAAGAGGGAACTTAAAACAACAAAGCAGGCCTGAGGCCACTGATTCCAAGGGGCCAATCCCAAACAGCAAACAGGCTGCCTCCCAGTGAGGCCCACAAAAGAAAACAAAAACCAGGAGAGAAACTTTTGCCAACTTACTGGGTTGCCATCAATGCCCGGAGGTCCTCGTTCTCCAAGATCACCAGGAAAGCCCTGAGGAGCAGTAAGGGGTGGGAGTAAGAGAGAGAAAGAGAAAGAGAAAGACGGGGAGGGAGGGAAACCCTTTGGTTACAAAGTAGGACAATGCAATGGATATGCAGGTGGTAAATACGAGACGTTAAAATCCTGCCTCTTTTTGCTCAAGTCCAAAAAGCTGTCAAGAGAAGGAAAAGTTCCCGTGTACCATTTATTGCTGATTATCTTTACCTTTACCTTTTATCTACAAAAACAGTTGAGATTCCCACCACCACCACCTTTTTATGAAGCCAGATATTTGAGGCGGTTAAGAACGTAAGTATTAAAGAATTGATAAAAAATGTGAAATGCAGAGCAGTAAACATAGCCAGTGTGGAGTAGTAATAACACACCACAGGAAATAGGGCACAGTTAGCAAGCACTCACTTGAGAACTCTGCCCAAGCGGGGGGGGGGGGGCATTTTTGGCGAGCCAGCAGCTGTTACGATCCTGAAGGCCCAAGGTTTCCTGGCCCTCACTGCTGGACCACAAACCCAAACTCCCTGCTCTGTTTCTGCCAAAGGCCCCCAATTATTATTGTTACATTTATTTTTAATTTATATACCAGCCTTCATCAAAAGACCACAGGGCAGTTTACAGCATAACACACAAAATGTATAATGTGATAATAGTAAAAAGAAAAAGGAAATAAGGTGACACCCCCCTCCTGTCATTAAAAAGACCATAGATCATTAACAGCTGAAGGCCTGGTTGAAGAACCATGTTTTTGCCTGGCCCCGAAATACATGTAGTGAAGGCGTCAGGTGAAGCTCCACAAGCAGGGAGCCACCACGGAAAAGGCCCCATTTTCATGTTGCCACCGTCCTGACCTCTCATGGAGGGGCACACAAAGAAATGCCTCAGAGGATCAATACAGTGGTACCTCGGGTTACATATGCTTCAGGTTACATACGCTTCAGGTTACAGACTCTGTTAACCCAGAAATAGTGCTTCAGGTTAAGAACTTTTGCTTCAGGATGAGAACAGAAATCATGCTCCGGTGGCACGGCAGCAACAGGAGGCCCCATTAGCTAAAGTGGTGCTTCAGGTTAAGAACAGTTTCAGGTTAAGTACGGACCTCCGGAACGAATTAAGTACTTAACCTGAGGTACCACTGTATAGGATTTGAGTCAGTTCATACGGGGAGAGGCCGTTCCTAAGGTATTGCGGTCCTGAGCCACATAAGGCTTTAATGCGTAAACCAGATCGATTCACAGGCAAAGCACAGGTCACAAGGTGTAGCAGGTACAGAAGAGGCAGAGATATATAGCTAAGACATTGACCCAACAAGTGGCACAACCCTTGTGTCTTCCTGTTGACAAGTCAGGTGAGCACAGTACACTGGGCAAGCAAACAGGCACTCCTTCGAGTGGGTAAGGTCTGCGGGGTTTGCCTGCACCAGTGCTGTCCTTGAGACAGAGGCAGTGTCAGCACCAACGCAGCACTTGATTTATTCTCAGTTGCCTCCTCCAAAGGAGGAGGCTCCTCACTGACAGGAGAAGGCATCTGACCAGGGATGATAGACGCCACAATGGGGGGGGGGGGTACCTTTGCTAACCCACGGGTCCCTCCCCAGGATCCATTTCTCCCATTCCTAGATGATTGACCTCCTCCCGGGCTCAGACACTTCTTGGTGTCCCAAATCCATCTCCCTCATCCTGCTAGGACCTTCCCCATGGCTGCCCAGCTCCAACACCCGAAGCACCTCAGGATCCAGCCCTCTCCTCCATGACATCGCCATGGGGCTCACGGCACAAAGCAAGTTTCTTCTGAGAGCTGTCTCACAACCACTGATTGGGTTCAGATAATCATTAGGATTACAAGAATTTGAAAAGTGCAGGCATGGTCTCATGATGACAGAGGCAGCCCAGCTGGACTCAAGCAGGAGGCAAGTCTCAATATGCAAAAATGCTCCAAAAGGTGATGTCACAGGTAAGGCCCACGCAGAAAGCCTTGAAAAGAGAGCAAGGGAGAGGGCGCTTGGGGTTGTTTGGGAACAACCATGGTTAGGGAAAGGGCTGTAGCTGCCTGGTGGGGCATCTGCTTGGCCTAAAGAAGATCCCAGGTTCAATCCCTGACATCTCCCATTATCACTTGGAAAGAATCCTGCCTGAAACCATGGAGAGTCAATACTGAGGTAGATGCAGCAAGGGTCTGACTCAGTATGAGTCAGCTCCCTCTGTTCTTGCTTCATTCAGTCCTTTGTTGAGTACTAAGAGGACTGGAATCTTACTTACCGTATTTTTCGCACCATAGGGCGCACCTGACCATAGGGCGCACCTAGTTTTCAGAGGGGGACATCAAGGGAAAAAAATATGATCCCCCCCCCAAGTTCTGGGAGCAGCAGACAGGCTGCAGGCAGCCTGTGCGATTCTCCCAGACCTTCGTCCTGCTTTTTGGGAGGTGGGGGAATTCCCTCACCTCTCTCAAAAGCTGGCAGAAGCTGCGTGCTCTTTAAAGGGTGCATTGCTCCTGTGGGCTTTTCTACGAGGTGGGAGAAGGGACTGATGCGGCCAGTCAGTCCCTTCTCCCTCCTGTGGAAAAGCCCGCAAGAGCGCACGGAGCTTGTGTGTCTTGGGGGCTTTTCCCAACTGCCTCCCCCCTGCATTCGCTCCATAGGGCGCACACACATTTTCCCTTGCTTTTTAGGAGGGAAAAAGTGTGTCCTATGGTGCGAAAAATACGGTAATTTCTAGGAAAAGTGATAAAGCTTATTGGCATGCAGAAGGTCCCAGCTTCAAACTTGGAAATACTGCAGTCTGAAACCACAGAGAGTTGCTGCCTGTCTGTGTAGGCAATACAGTCTGGCTCAGTATAAGGCAGCTTCCTGTGTCCCAGTGAAAGAGACCTCACTCAGGCCACCAAAGGAACCTGTTGCTTTGACTCATCAAGGGAATTTTTCTTCAGGGAAAGTCAGGATGGAAAGAAAGTTTCCCCCACCCAATGTTTGCATAGCAAAGAAGAATTTTGCATCTCCGGGTTGTGAGGAAAGAATGCTGCCATTTAGAGCCTGCTTGACCACTCTAGGCCTTGAATCCTTCACAAAACGGAGACTGCAAACTCCTCAAGTAATCCACAGATTAAAAAGGGGGGCAGGAATTGCAACACCCCAAGGATCTCTCTGCAAGCTCTCAATTGCACAATTACAAATTTATCACAGGCTCTGGTTCCACCTCCGGTATTCATTTGCTCTGCTCTATGATGCCTTGCACCAGTTTAAAAGCAAAATATGGTACATGGTATTTGAGCTAAATATACTTTAAAATAAATAAACAAATAAATACACAACTGTTCTACAAAGTGATATTCTGTCAAAAATGCACCTGCAAGAGTGAAAGAGATACGAAGCAGGGCCATTCCATTCCAGCTGGTCATTATCAGAGCAACTGTTAAAAAAACAAACTAGTGCCTGGGGTTGCTTTCCCCCCCTTTCCCTCCCCATCTTTTTTCCCTTTTTAGATTGCAAGCCTGCAGGCCTGGACTGTCTCATTTCAATTAATCATATGCAAACCACTCTGGGATGCTTTCTGGTTGAAAAGTGAATTAAAGTGTTCCAAACAGAACGTTTAACAGTAGGCCATAGAGAGAGATAGCTCAGTTGGTAAGCATGAGACTCATTCTTCAGGTCGTGGGTTTGAGCCCCATGTTCGGCAAAAGGTCCCTGCACTAAATAACACTAATTGGACCCTCACGGTCCCTTACAGCTCTACACTTCTAGGATTCTATGTGCAGATGTAAGCTGCCCCCCTCTATAGACTCAAATACAACCTTCAAGAAGCAGCATGGGCTGTATGCAATAAATTTTTCTCCTTGCTTTTTCCATATTTGTTAATCAGATGGGCAAGAGCGAATGCATTATCCATTGTCAGAAGAACCAAACCTGATCTAAATCCTGTTTATTCTTCAAAGATGCTACCATTTGCCAGAGCCCAATCCTCACATCTATCAATCTGATACCTGGCATATAATGTTATCTGCAATGTTTATCAGGCAGATAGGCCATCTAATTGCTGGCCTGAATTCATTCTCTCTTCTTATCAATGGTGATATCTATACTCACAGTCCAACCAGCTGGGATTTTAGTAATGAGATTCATAGCATCAAAGGGCTTGGCAACTGTATCCTATTTGTTTATTAAAAGCTCAGATGGGATACCATCTTCGCCAGTGGCCTTAATTCCTTCCAAAAAGCCAATTAAACCTCCCACCTCTTTTTTTCAGTTGTAAGGAGCCACGGAGCCATGGTTTCAAATTCAATTTGACAAGCCTGCAAGCTGGCATCACAAACTATTTTGCTGAACGCTCTGTAACAGCGAGTTCCCCTGACACAATTAGAAACATGTTAATTGAAGGGATTAATGTATGGCAACTGTCATTAATCATGACTGAAGCACATGAGTTCACCATTGTGGCATCAGCCTGGAAGTGAAGCAAGCCTCAAAATTATTAATGTTTTTTAAAAAGAAAATCTTATCTCCCAAAGTTGTCCCGAATTAGTCCATATTTCCACTGCAGCTTTTACTCCTTATTGGTTAGGGGTTTTATCCAAAAAATGTCCGACTCACCAAGCATGCCACCTTGCCCCCCGCGACGGAGGGGGCCAGGGCTACATGATGTCAGCATGCCACATACACACACCACGGGGCTTGCACACATGACATCAGCACACCCTGTGCCATGCTTGCACCATGTGGCACACTCCGGGACATGCTGATGTCACTCGCACACACCGCAGGGCATGTTGACGTGTCATGCACACGCCCTGCAGTGTGCGCACATTATGTCAGGGATTTTTGAGGAGGCCCAGACCCTTCCTTGGCAATTTTTTTTGGGGGGCGGCCCTCTCCTAGATGGTGCACCTGCTACCCACTGAAATGAATGGACTTGTGTTAATTGAGTTCACCCATTTTGGTACATCTACTCTTGAGTATGATTAACACTGGATACAGCCCTTCATGTTTTTAACATTGTTTTGCAATTGTGTATTATGATTTATATTGTATTTTTGTACACCACTTTGGTCTTAAATGTGGGGCGATGTAAACATTCTGACATCAATTAATTAAAATCCAAAATGGCAACACCAACTTTGCCTATAGCTAACAACTTAACTAGATCCCACAGCTGTTTCTGATAAAAATGGCCTAAAACATTACTTTTGAACACCTCCCCACCCCACTCTGTAGTTGGACTGAAAGCACAGCTGTCAACGTTTCCATTTTTTTAAGGGAAATTCCCTTATTCCGAATAGGATTCCTCGCAAGAAAAGGGAAAAGTTGGCAGCTATGACTGAAAGTGAAGCATCTGCATCTGACAGTTCTGAGCACAGTTAACATCTAGCCATCCTTAGCACCTGGTTTCTTGACAGCTCAACAACCTTAATCAAATGCTTCTATGCCTTTACTTTAAAAGACTGACTCATGGCCATCAAGAATTGTTTAAGCTTATCCACTGGAAGACAGAAGCTAGCACAGAATGTCATAGGGTTGCCATATGTCCTCTATTTCCTGGATACATCCTCTTTTTCATGAGTAGAGTAGTCATAGTGATCCATAGTTTAAAAGTTTTATTATAACCAGCCCAGCCATGAGGCAAGGTGAGGTGACCACCTCAGGCAGCAGGATTCCCAGAGGCAACAGATCCAGCCTCCAACAAATGTATTGTCTATTGAACCCTCAGCAGCCCCCACCCAGGCTGCCCCCACAGTGGCCTTTTGGCAATAGAAGGCACTGCTGGTCGCCTCCCACCCCTAGGGAGAAAATGGCAGAGGCTTCCCTCTGGTGTCTCCTGGGGTCTACACCCACCCAGCATAATGCCTTCCCCTCCCCCAACCGCCACAATGGCCTTTTATTCCCACTTCAACCATTGCATAAGGCTGGTTTGATTCTCTCCCTTGTTCCCAATGTAGCTCTTCATTCACCCCACCTTCCCTGGTGCAGGGGCACCATTTTGTGGTTCACCTCAGGTGCCAAAATGTCTTGGGCCAGCTTGCAGAAAAGAGTCCTCTACATACAGGCACAGGAATACCAAGTGAGACCACTGGGTCCACATAGCTCAGTATTTTCTACACAGACTGGCAGTGGCCCTCTAGAGATCAAGGCATAATTGCTTGTTTATTTACTCTATTTATGGCTGGCCTTCCTGTAAAAATTATAAGAAACGGCACTAACATTCCGAACATTTCAATTCAGTATTGTTTGCTCTTCTCCTGCTGAGTGGGACCCATACTAGAGAAAAGACATCTCACATCCGTTCTTTTGTATTTTGCTTCTGAGCAACAGGAAAACTATGCAGCTTCCCAACTGGGCTCCAAGGTGGCATTGGCCAAGGCATTGCGGGGAGAGATGGTCACAAGCAGCTTGTTGGCATCTGCACACACTAATACCTATTCACACACACAAACACACAGAGAGAGAGCTGACTTTTTAAAGGGAAAGGGAAAATCAGGGAAGAAACATCGTCTCTAATCTGTGAAAATAAAAGGGAAAATATGGATCTATAATGACCATTTTCATTGCTAAAAGAGGAAGAAAGAACTTAAAATTAGTGTAAATGCAAAGACCTAGAATCCGCCCTTCACATACAACTCCACATCCTGTTCTAGCCCTCTCTCTCTCTCTCTCTCTCTCTCTCTCTCTCTCTCTCATACACACACACACCCTATTGAAATTTAGACCTTGTGCATACTTTTTCAATCAGGGTGCATTTTAAGGCTCTAATGTTAAGGGAATTCATGGGCAAGCTTCCAGGGGCCACATACCAGTGGCATTAAGTAGGTGGAGGAATGGGCATGGCTAGAAAAAAACTGGGGTTTCCTCTCTCTCTTAGACCTCCATCTTTTCACAGATCAAGGACACATTCCCACCAAGCAAAAGCACCCAGGAAGGGAGCCGAACAGGAAAGAACAGGGGTATGGCCTGGGAGGGATCCCAAGGGCCAAATAGAGATGCCTGAAGGGCCGCATTTAGCCCTAAGCCTGGTGTTCCCCATCCCTGAGACAGAGGGTTAGAACAGATTTATTTTATTCAGAGCTGAAATTGGCAATATAGGAGCATAGAGCCGTCTCCATTCTTGTTTTAACGGGACAGTTTTCTTGCATATTATAATCATGGATTATATTTTAATACTTGGGTCACTGCTTCTTATACCTGATAACTGATTAGAAGTCTACTTTGGCAGTAAGTGGTATATGAAATAAGAACAACAACAACAACAACAACAACAACAACAACAACAACTATAACTGCCATTAGGATTCTCTCCTGATAAAACCACAGCTGATATTCATTTTCTATTGACCATGGGTAAAAGAGACAGCATAAAATATGCATATGCCATAGTTGTAAGTAAAAATAAAATCTAAAAATCATGAGTAAAAGAAACTAAGACTACGGCCAGTTGGACAACTTCAGCAGCAAGTCATCAATCAGCACACAGTCAAGCCTACAACCCATTATGCAAGAATCAACTACACTTTCACAGAATTTAGCTGCAAGTAAAGCGAAGCCAGCCACTAATTTGCCCATTTGTCAGTAAGTAATCAATTCTTAGAAAACTCCAACTGATACAATTGTCTCCCCAGTAGCCAGAGACAAGCGTCCCCTACAGCTGAACATTGCAGCATGCCACGGGAAACTTCTTCCACAACAACTGAAGTCATGGAAATTCAGATCCTGCAGACTGAAAAGTATCTACTCTGCTGTGGGCAGAAGTCCTTTGAAGGGTTACATAAGAAAGGGGCTAAGGAGGTGAGAGAAATGTGCAGAGATGTTCAGCTTCCAATCCGGATTATGAGGAGGAACAGCATGAGACAAAGGAGTCAGAGCATGTGGAAGTTGAAGGTTCAGTTGCGGATCTGCCAGATCAAACGTGACTAAATGTTTGGCTCTAGTTTTGCAATTGGGGACATAAAAACAGCCTTGCTGGATCAAGCCAAAGGGGCTCACCTAGTCTAGCTTTCTGTTCTCCCAGTGGCAAACCAGAAGTCCCAATGGAAAGCCAATAAGCGGGACCTGAGCCAACAAAAACTGGTACTAAGAAGTATACTGCCTCCATCAGTGAATGTTATCACAAAGCATTATTTTCCATGAATTTCTCTAAACGATTCAAGTTGGTGGCCTTTGCTGCATCTTGCAGAAAATTTAATAAAGAGGCGCAGCACAGATCAGTTTGCACAATGAGCCAAGTGAGTCCAAACCTGGTTCTAGACTGGGGGGCTGGGGGGCGTTTATAGCTGGCAGTCCAGATGCTTCAGTCCCCCAACACCCAGGGGCCATTTGGATGGGTAGGCAGAGCTGCCCACCTACCAATCATCTGACATCAGGTGAAATATTTTCCTTTCCCCTCCTGGTCTGAAATCAAACCATGCAGGCAAATGGCACAGCATGAATTGCAAGTACAGATGATCAGCTAACTCTCAATGCTTCCATTCACCCGGTGCTATACCAGCTGCACTGGCTCCCGGTGGAGTACAGGATCAGGTTTAAGGTGCTGGTTTTAACCTTTAAAACCCTATACGGCCTAGGACCCTTGTACCTACGGGACCGCCTCTCCTGGTATGTCCCACATACTTACGGTCTTCAATAAAAACATCTTGAAGGTCCCAGGCCACAGAGAGGTTAGGCTGGCCTCAACTAGAGCCAGGGCTTTTTTGG